GCTTCATCTCCTGCCCTTGGCACTGGGCCTGAGAGCCCCAGGTGGACACTCTTGCTGACCTTCTAAGAGCAAACCATCATCTCAAATCCAGCAAGCAGATAGGTATGTCTTCTTTAATTATGAGGGGACTCTTCATCATATTTTGGAATAACAAATACCCAGATCCTGGAATATGGCCAAGAGGGAATAATAAAGTCACCTACCTACTTTTGTCCGTGGCAAAATGTTAACTGAGCACCTACTTCATACTCTCTATAGATGGCTTGCACATTGCTCTTTCTAGTCTAGAACTCCCCACAAAACTCAGATGTCTCCGCCTTGTGTCTCAAGGACCCTCCAAGGCAATGTGCCCAAAGAGACCTCCTTATCTCGTGCTCTCCTGGAGCCTTGCTTTCTCCTAATGGCATTGCTAGTCCATGATGCCTCCATTTGCATCCTTAACCCTGATCCTAACCCTAACCCTAACTCTAACCCTAAACCCTAACGCTAACCCTAATCCTAACCCTAACCCTAAACCTAAACCCTAAACCTAACCCTAAACCCTAACCCTAACCCTAATCCTAACCCTAACCCTAAACCTAAACCCTAAACCTAACCCTAAACCCTAACCCTAAACCAAACCCTAACCCTAAACCCTAACCCTAAACCAAAACCCTAACCCTAAACTCTAACCCTAACCCTAACCCTAAACCTAAACCCTAAACCTAACCCTAAACCCTAACCCTAAACCAAACCCTAACCCTAAACCTAACCCTAAACCTAAACCAAAACCCTAATTCTAACCCTAAACCCTAACCCTAACCCTAATCCTAACCCTAACCCTAAACCTAACTCTAAACCCTAACCCTAAACCCTAACCCTAAACCAAACCCTAACCCTAAACCCTAACCCTAACCCTAAACCAAAACCCTAACCCTAAACCCTAACCCTAATCCTAAACCCTAACCCTAAACCAAAACCCTAACCCTAACCCTAAACCCTAAACCTAACTCTAAACCCTAACCCTAACCCTAACCCTAACCCTAATCCTAACCCTAAACCCTAACCCTAACTCTAACCCTAAACCCTAAACCCTAACCCTAACCCTAATCCTAACCCTAAGCCTAAACCCTAAACCCTAACCCTAACTCTAACCCTAAACCCTAAACCCTAACCCTAAACCCTAACCCTAACCCTAACTCTAACCCTAAATCCTAACCCTAACCCTAACCCTAACCCTAACCCTAACCCTAAACCCTAACCCTAACCCTAACCCTAAGATAGACCATCATTAGCTCCTGATGCTTCTACCTTAAAAGTCTCTTCAGTCCACTCCCTTCTTATCATCTCTGTCCTCTCCTGCCTGGACTATTGCAATGGCCTCTTCAGGGCCCACCTTCTCTGTAGCATGAAGCTCCTCTGCTGAAAACCCTCGGGCATAGCTCCTATTTTAAAATAGCTGTTATTTTATTTAACCCTCACAACCACCATGAGAAAGATATATTAGCATTGTAAAGATCAGGGAGTGGTGGCTTAGAGCTACTGCATGACTTGCTTAAGGACACTCCGGGAGCAGGTCTAGAGCTGGGATTTCAAGCCTGATGTCCTACATCAGAGCCTGGTTCTTCCCACCCCCACTTATCGAATCAGCACCTCTCCCTCCCAAACCTTTCCCCAGTTGGTGTGAAGGAGCCCACAGTCTCCCTGGGAGGAAGGGCAAAGACCTTATTGCTAGGAGCCACTGCAAAGTATTATGATGCATGGCACCTTTGGTTGTAAGCTAGCCATTGAGAAGATTTACATTCATATGGAAATTGGACTCCTGCTGTTCACCTTGGCCAGGAATGGGACTCCTGGAGAGTTCTCATTGGTTGGGGAAGGATATTAGGAGGGTTTTCCGGGGGAGGTCCTGGCCCCTGGTTCCAGGAGACGCGACCACCGTGGGTGGACCGGCTTACTGGCCGCATACGGGGTATTGGCGGCCTTTTCAAAAAATAAAGTTTTGTTCCTGCTTGAGTGGCTGGTGATTCTGTGCCCAGCCAGACTGCGGCACCTTATAGGACATGACCTGGAAAACTCTTTGCCAGGAACAGTGATACAGTGACACACACCTATAATTCCCACAGCTCTGGAGGCTCAGGCAGGAGGATCACAAGTTTGAGGCCAGGCTCAGCAACTTAGTGAGGCCCTAAACAACTTAGTGAGACTCTGTCCTATAAAAAATGAAAAGGACTGGGGATAGGTCTCAGTGGTTAAGCATCTCTGGATTCAATCCCCAGTATCCACCCCTGAAAAAAACAAAAACAAACCCTCTGACCTCAATGTATTTCACCCTAAATGCCCATGCAAAATTTACTTTCTATGCCCTGGTGTGTCTGTCTGAATATGAAAATGTTTCTCTTGCAAATTTCTGAGTAGCACAGACACTGCAGAAAGATGTGCCCTGTTGGGCTTCGAGGAACTGGGTGGCCCCTAAGGGCCCTGAACAGTTAGCAGCACCATCCAGAAATCATGGATCTTTGGCATGAAGTCTGTGCTCCTGGTGGGGCTCACGAGGCCTCTGTGATCTGGTACTGTCAACCTTCATCACTCAGCATGTGTCCCTACACCTGCATCCCTCGATGACATAATTCCCTCCCTTGCAAACTCCACTCATAGTTGGCGGCTCACTCGGCCCCATGTTCATGCCTGGGCTGGGGACCTGCCCTCTCTCTCTGCCACTCTTCTCCTCCTGCTCACACCCCCAGTGGCTTATCATGTCCGCTGGCAAACTGCGAGACGCCTGTCAAAACCCTGCTCACTTGCCACCTCCCCAGTCAGGCAACCTCCTTCACCCTGGCCACCAGCTGCTTGAGTCACCTCTGTCCTTCATCAC